TAAAGGGGTGTTTAGAACTAGATTATCCACAGTCATCAAACTGACAAAACACTTTTATAAGTTTGTTCTTTTTTTTAAATAGTATCTGGATGCTTTCAAATAAAAAATTGAGAACTAAAATGTTGCCCATCCTGTCTTCTAAGAGACGCCTACCCTTTAATAGGAGGTAGACTGATTATAGATGATCCAAACCTCTTCCTTTTGTTCCACTGGAATCAATAGCTCCATAGACCATGTTCATGGAGAGGAGAATAACAGAGTACTTAGGAAAACATAGTAAGAGCTTGAGTTAAAAAAATGATTTGGTCCATAATTGGTCAATCCAGTCGCCTTGCTGTACGCTTATCACATTTAAAGTTTATACTGGCCTACAGAATATTTATGCTGAAAACACACAAATTGAGATAATCCAGAAGAATGGAAAAAGGCAATTGAGCTTTCTGACAATAAAGAAAATGTCAAGATTTCAAAATGGAGTTCACAACACATGAACAATGATGTCATAAACAAAACAGTGTTTGGGTTGCTGTCACTTACCTTTTCATCAATCATTTCAATTCCCATCCCATCCATTTTTTGGCTGCTGATTCCCAAAAGAACCCCAGTTGTTCTGGTTGTGCGGAACTCAAATTCTACAAAAAGGTCCAATCCAACTTTGAATCCACCAACTGTAAAATAAAGTGTTTTTTTTTAAATGTGAATTAGAGTGTAGGCATTACTAATTTAAATTTGTATAGTGTATTGGTTTTACTAGATTTCAATTCATGCTACCTAACTGAGGCTGAAGTTCCAGACCTATCCCTCCACCACTGTGTTAGTATTATATTTTATAGTTTAACTTATTTCCTTGGCTGTCTTTCCTTCCAGAATGAGGGTATAGATTGTCTATATTGCTCAACATTTTATTCCTGGGCATATCAAAGTATCTAGCATATACTGGAAGTTTAATAGATATTTGTTGAATTAATGAATGAACACACACTGAGATTGAATCAAAGAACCTTAAAGCTAGGTAGGATTATTGTGTAGAAGTCTGTCTGTTGGACTAAGTATTTCAAAGACTAATGAGTAAAATTTTATTGAGGCACTCTAAATGATACCACATGATCTGAAAGACTATACAAGTTACTAAATATTTTATTAATAAAGATAGAAACTGCAAATATAATTTTTGATGAGAAGATTCTGGATTATAAATGGACTTTTCTAGTTCACTAGTTAATTTTTTTCTCTATAATTTTATATATTTGATCAATTGATTTATTTAGTCTTTTAACATGTATTTAAGGTAGTTCTCATATAAACAAAGTGATTATTCTAGGCTACATGAACTGCATGACATATTAGGAAAGGACTTATGGAAAATTTCTGTATGTCTTCTATTTATTTAGACAAGAAGAAATTCAGCGTATAACCACAACCATTGATAGTGAAGGGTGAAACCTGTTATGTGAAAGACTGTTCTGATAACCTGGATGGTTCTGGATGGGCAAAGATGTATTTACAGCAGTTTTAAAAAATCAAGGGTAGAAGAAGCTGAGTTATTTTGCAAAGTAAAACAGAAAGGGAAAAGTAAGAAGAGAAGGATGACATGGAACAGTTCAGCTAAGGACAGAGGGCGTGTAGAGGCCAATAAAAACTCTCCAGTGATTGGATGGCTGGCAAGCTTTAAAGAACAAAGAAGTCAAAGGTTAAATCTAAGTTGTGTTTTCCAGTTACGTAATCTCCTTGGACCACCAGGTCTTATGTAAATTGTACTGTGCTGTGTGGAGAAGATGAGAAATTGTTGAAAATTAGGGAAGTGATTAATTTTCTGGTCCAGTTTGAACCAGAACCAAAGGAGCTCTGCTGGATGGTAAATCATTCCATTAGCTACAGAGGCTGCATTGAAGCTTGCCATCACATCTGAAGGAGAGAATGCTAGCCATCTGAATTTGCAGAAGTCTTGGGAAAGTATTTGGATTTCCACAGCACATGAAATTTGGGGTTTAACACAACCAATATTTGAGTATTTAACATGTGTTTCTCTGATTTCTGTTTCTGCATAGGTGATGTTTCCCACTTAGGCTTTGTGACAGGGTCCTAATCTTCCACCTCTCACAACTTTTGTATGGGAATGTCCCACCTGTCTTCTAAATCTTTACTTAGATGTGAATTCTTCCTTAAAACTTTCCTGATTTTTCAACCCAAATTAATCTTTCTTCTTATTATCTATAGAACTTTGCTTTTATAGTTTTGAATCATTTTTACTTGTCTGCTTGTGATTTTTGAGCAAATTATATCTTACGTATTGACAATATATTATTAAAGGAAGGAACTACATCTTATTAATTTCTGTTTCCCATAAAAATTTTCACATACTATTTTTTAATGAATAAATACATGTGTCTATCAAAACCATAGTATTGCACATTCTATCTTAATGTATGTTAATGTGAGAGGTTTTTTTTTTTTTGGTTGTTGTTGTTATTATTAAAGAGAAGTTAGTTTTAGTTTTTCCCCATAGTCAGTAAGAAATAAGCATAGGTATGTGTGCAGTGTGAATGTGTGTGTATATGTAAAAAAATGTAGCCTGGCAAAGAATTGAAGAAGAAGAAAGAAAAACAGTGTCATATATCTAGAAAGGCAGACAGGGAAAACTGGAAGATACAGAAATCACATAGTGTAAACTTATGGAGCTTTTCTTCAGAATTACATTTATTTTACTGTTATTGGTCTTTAATGAGGAACATAAAATAAAATCTCCAACCAATTTTTTATTGTATTTTTTCTATTAGTCCTTATCATAATCAGATATGTGAATTTAAAAAATATTTTTAGTAGATATGTGAATTTTTAAGAAAATGTGAATTTTTAAGAGGCATTTTTTGTTAGTTCTAGAAATTCATTCAAGTTTCCACAAAGAGGATTCGTTTGGGATTCTGGGACTTTTACTTCTTGGTACAGGTAAGAAGTTAGAATTTATACATAGTGAATATTCAACAGGAAGGAAAAAGAAGAGCCTTACCTGCTTTGGCAAAACCTGTCCCATCAAAATAGGTTCCTCTCTGAGCATTCGCAAAGCAGGTCCCGACATGGAAGCTAGAGGTCGGTTGTTCAAGATCAACAGGAGCTTCTTCCATGTGAAGATTCCTAATGCAGCCATCAATGCTGTAGGTCACCTAAACATTCAGGGCAGAAGAAACAAATGCCAAGTTTCAGCAGAATTTTATCTTTATGTGCAGTATAATCATTTGTGGGATCCTCGGTGCATGGAGACCTGGGTCTGTTGTCTTAGAGCATTTGCCAGAGAGGCCTGGGTCTGCATCACCCCAGGACTGCATGGCTTCTGAGAATCTTGTGTTGTGCTTCTCCATAGGTTATATCCAACAGGACTGTCTGCTTTTCTAAAGACTGCATACTATGTTGTATTATGTGACCATTGCCTTGAAAGAACTATGGGCTCTGCACAGGTATTGTAGCTTTTGATGTGTATTTTATGTTGCTGATTTCATGTTCCTATTAATAATTTATTAATCTCACTATGTATACATTTTGTTGTGATCTATATCAAATTCTGTCTGAAATGGCAATTAGGTTTGGTTTAGTGCTTGTTCCTTTTGAAAATAATGAACTCAATGGTCCATCCCCTAAGAAAATACATACACTCATAAAACTCAGAAGTTTGCATGAAACATTTGGGCCTTGAGGAATTTGGAAATAACTCCATCACACTCTGCACAACCATCCATCCATCTATCTATCTATCTATCTATCTATCTATCTATCTATCTATCTATCTATCTATCTATCTTGTACTGGGGATTAAACTCAGAGGTATTTTATTTAGAATCAGGCTCTCACTGAGTTGCTGCTTAGTGCCTTACTATTGTAGAGGCTGGCTTTGAACTTTGAACTTTGAACTTGTGATCCTCCTGTTTCAGCCTCCTGAGCCGCTGGGATTACAGGAGTGTGCCACTACACCCAGCTGCACTGTTATATTTAATCTGGTTTTAGGAATTCAAGTTAGTCACTTTTTGCTGTTATCACTTCAGAGACTCTTATTTTGATAGATGTTGGTAGCATATCTGACAGCTATGAAAAAAAGCAATCATTCACAAGAAAAGCCAAATGCTGAGAATTACAACTGCAAAGGGAAATTGTCTTTGACAAATGAATAAAGCTATCAGTGCTCTAATTTGACTATAGAAATGTATCACACTTGTATCTAGTGCATTCTCTAAAAACAATGACCCCCTGTGCTGCTCAGAATAACATTTTTCAAAGTAAACCAGGATACAAGGTCTGAGAAAAAATTATTTTGTGAATATTGATTCATAAAATTGTGAGGACTTTAAATTCCGAATCTGAAATTAAATAAGTTTAGTCTTTGAATACTATATTTCTCCATTAATCACTAAGTCTCTAGTCCTGAAATGGTATCATGCACACCATCATCTTTATCTTCCTTATCCAGTGTTTTCTACATGTCTGGTTCTCTTTCAAATACTTAAAATATATTACCTCATTTCATCTTTACAGCAACTCTGGTACTTTCATTACCTTATTTTGCAAAAGAGGGAACTTTGTTAAAGAAAGACATTCAAGGTCATACAGCTTGTCAGTCAATATTTAGGCAAATATCTGGGCTGGAGATGTGGCTCAAGCGGTAATGCGCTCACCTGGCATGCATGGGGCGCTGGGTTCGATCCTCAGCACCACATAAAATAAAATAAAGATGTTGTGTCAGCCCAAAATAAATATTAAAAAATTCTCTCTCTCTCTCTCTCTCTCTCTCTCTCTCTTTCTCTCAAAAAAAAAAAAATTTAGGCAAATATTTAAAGCAAGGGAGTTGGGCTCCAGGGTCCAGTGCTCAGTGACATTACCACACACAGTTAAATTTTTCTAGAAAACTTTCCATCACTTCTCAAGAAAGATGATTTCCAACCCGCCTGTAAATGATCACGAGCCCACATGATCTAACAATTTAAAAATACATACATAAATAAGTAACTTATATATTTAGGCAACAAGGAAGGAATATGACACATACTGGACCAATTCTTCGGGTGGTATAGTTGATGGGTAACCCACCAACATACAGCATTCCCACAACATCCAGGATGTCTGCTTTCTTGGGACTGATGGTTCTGTTGGAGGCATCATCTACATGAAGAATTCCTTCTTGCTTAATTCGCACAATCTTAATCTACAAAATTGAAAAAAGTCATTAATGCCAATCTTAAATGAATTTCAATTATGCACAGTATAAGACATAAAAATTTGGGGCTGGGGCTGTGGCTCAGCAGTAGCACACTTGCCTGACATGTGTGAGACACTGGGTTCGATTTTTAGCACCACTTACAAATAAATATAATAAAGGTCTATCTACAACTAAAAAATTAAAAAAAAACATAAGAACTTGTGTGATATTCATAAGAAAAGGTGAAATAATTTATGGGCTAAGGTGTAACATAAAGGAGTATACACCCATTTAACATAATATTTCAAACTTTTGTCTGTTCCATGACTATCATTACTGAAAAGTCACCACCTTTTTCTGGGTAAGTTTTAGATTGAAGTTGCTTCTAGAGCTTTCCAAGTGTGCATATGTCTCAAGAGATAGGCGTGTTGTATGGAAACTTGCAGACTGATAGCACTGCTATGAATTAAGTGAACTGCAGAATTCGTGTCTAGTTGTAATAATGTATTAATCTGAGCAAAACCTGTACTCCTAATGCCACTGACTACTTGCTACAGGCCTTTCTTGTGTGCAGAACTAGAAGGAGAGCAGTGCACAGGGGAGGTACTGTAATTTCTGCAGCAGCTGATTAGTCCAAAGTCAGGGAGGAAGATGGAAACCCTACTGATGCTGAATTTATGGCAGTTAAGGAAGTATCTTCAGGACAGAATAAAAGAAGGGGGGTGTGAAAAATGGCTTGAGTATAGAATCTAAATTTAACCAGGGGATTATGTAAGCCTATGGAATGCTGGGGCCCAACAATGGCTTAAAAATGAGTCTGGATCAGGACTAGGGTAATTTAACACCTCATTTTATAGGTTATCTATTCTAGTTTGGGAAGTAATTTTAAAATCTTCAAAAATAAAATCTGCTTTTAATTTGGGTAATTATCATATTTAAGTTCCTCTCTTAATCCTAACCTTTTTATGGCCTCAAATGTGACTTTTTCTCAAGTATCATATTTATTATCCTATTAACCAGAGATAAGAATAAATCTTAACGGGAACCCCTCCATTGAGATCACTATTTGCTATCCATAAACTTCCAATCAAATATAAAGATTGCATTTCTTATTTCTGAGACAAATTGGTTGAATTGGAGTTTGTCTTGTATTTTTTTTTTAATGTTCTTTGGCTTTCTATATGATATGACAAGTCAAAGTAGGTTAATACATCAAATCTAACATCTAATAATATCCTGCTCTGAAAATTAAGCATTTTATTGGTATACCCAGGGAAACTTTACTTAATAGGGTATCACAGGTGCAGAGACAAATTTTGAGTTTTTGTTTTAATCAGGCAGTATATTATCTACTTGCAGTCATGCCAAAGACGATTGTAAGCTGTCAAATGAGCCTTCTGTGCCCATAATAGCACCAGTTTCTGGGTGTAAGGCCAGCCTTTTAAAGTTGTTCCAAATGACTATCAGTGGAAATGGTACCTTAGGGTCCTTTAAACACAACACTGTAGAGATTCCCAGACTCTTGGTTTTCAGACCCCCCAAGTCTTAAGCCCCCATCTGAGTGTAGCCAACTTTTACTTTGGCCAAATTCTATTTATTAAAAGAGAGGTTTTACAGTACCTTCGAAATAGGAACATATAATCTCAAAAATAAATATTATTCCTCTATATCTACTACCCAAAACTTCATGATTAACACATGCTGTATCCTATAATTCTTACTCAGAGCAGTGAGAATGTCTTCAACCCCTTGGCCCAGTTTGTGGACATATGTTCGGGAGCCACAGTCGTGAAACAATGGCAGAACCCTGGAATACCATGATCAGGTTTGTAAGTGGCCAAATATTAACCCACCCAGGATAGGATCACATTTTCCAAGGTTGTGTAAGTGGTATACAGCATTTACTTTATTTTTAACCTCTGCCACATTCCAGCAGCATGAGGGTTAGTGCCTGCACTGGCAAAATAGTGCTGGCACCACCGGAACACCCATGGCTGCCACCAGGACCCCTGCAGAGAGGGTTGCCAAGTCCTGGGCATGGTTACCTTGTGCCACTGGCCATCATTGATTTTGGTGGGAATCATGGTGTTGGTGTCACCACTCCCCAAGTCATAACTGAAGTACGGCAATCCATTTCTCAGCTGAACTGTAGCAAAATCAGCATGATTGATCCGAGCCATGTAAAAAAGCAAGCCTGATTCAGCTTCGGTTCGCACTTCCAATTCAATTGTAAGGCTGTGAAATTCAAGCATGTGAAGGGAAAGAGGAAAATAAGAGAATTGTTATGCTAAGATGGAGGGGCGTCAACTTCTGGGTTTATTTTCATAACATAGGTAAAATCTTCTCTGACGGGGCTTGCCTTGGACTACTGATTTCCTAGATGGAGCTCTTTAGGCCCAGACAAATATAATTTTATTCTCAGTTGTATTCAGAAAATTAAAAGTAAATAAAAAATAATTTCATTAATTAGTAAATGTAGTTGATGAAATTTGATTAAACATGACTATTCAATATTTCATTTACCAGTTCTTGGGCAATATCTCAGAATAATACACACCGGTTCTTAACTTTTGTGTCATCAAAGGCAATTGCAATGTGACTGTTTTTTGAAAGTCCGAACTGCTTGCTCCCCATCAAAAGAGCTGGTTCTGATTCTGCAGCACAAGGTCCCTGTAAAACACCAAGGAGAGAAAGAGAGGTGATTATGAGGTCTCTTTTTTAAATAGGCAACACTGCTGTTTGTTTATTACATATTATCTTCATGTCTAGGTATAATTCCTTAAGAATAAAAACTATTATTCATCTCTGTAATCTATAGCATAGCAGGTACTTATTATTAAATGCTCAGTGAATGTGAATCAGTTTTTCTATATCACACCTTTGAATTGCTAAATTCGTGTGCTCAAAAATTTATTGATTAATTCATATTTTCGTTATCCTCTAAGGAAAAATCTTGTTTATATTTCAAAGGAAACTATAATTTCTTCTTCACATTTATTTCACTTATGAAGAATCTTATTCTTGGAAGATTGAACAAGGAAAACGACAAGCTAGCCACCTGCATTATAAGAGTAGGAAAAAGAGTTCCTTTCTGCCCTCCCATTTCCATCTCCCACTATATTACTTTTCCTTAAAAATTATCAGTCTACTAGGAGGTTGCCATGAATTTAGACTTTCAAGATGGTGTATCTAAACCTGCAAGTCAGCCCATTCAGGTCCTTAGTCAGTTGCTAGGCAACACAGCACACTTTTTTTTTTTTTAATGTAAACTACCATACAGCATTTCCACTGCTCCTGTTCAAAGATGAGGTTCCTGGGGTGCTTAAGAGGAACAGCTAGGTACAGAGCTGTGCTTTCCCTGGGTTTAATGTTCTGCCCTCACCATCATGAAATCCTGAACAGTTTTTGATCAGGGGGGTCCTACATTTTCATTTTGCATTGAACCTTGCAAATTATACAATCGATCCTGGCTATGTGTACCATATTAGGCTACCATATCAAAGAATCCAGTAATCAAGGCTCTGCATATGACCAAATCCACAAACCTCTTTCCCTGTTCTCTATTTTCACAAGATAGCTCCATGTACAGGCAGCTTAAGACGTCTTTTAGAACACGCAGTACATGAGAAAATCAATAACCTGTGCACTCTGCCCGGCACATCTGTTTTTAAGATCTGAGCTTAATAGCTCTGGATGGACCACTGCCCAAGTGAGTGCTGAGTCAGCAGAGGTTTCCAAACAGCCCAGGGCTTGCTTTGGATGCAGAGTGTTCCAATGTACCTCTGAGATGACTCATCAGTACACAGGAAATTTTACTTAAGGAATAGCCTTGTTCTCTTTTCTCTTGAGTTTAGTCAAATGCAACACTCTGCCACAGCAGGTAAAGGGCTTAAAGTGTTTCGAAATGCTGTAAAATTGGTCTTCGTGGAAGTATTTCTCTTCTTGGCTTCCCAGGAGATGGTCAGTTATAAAGAGCAGACTGTGGCTAAAATTCATATAGCAATGCAAAAACCCAGTGGGTAGGAAGGGAAAATGCTCCTCACGGCACCTTATTTCCACTGCCCACAGTGAGAGCACAAATGGAAAGGCTCTGGTGGCTTAATGCCTCAGCCCTCAGTGACTATTAATAGAACTGGGATCATTTATCAATCTTTTGCAATATTTCCTGTACACAGGACCTTCTCAAAAAACACATGTAGCCTACAGTTCTCAGAAACCTCTAAGAGAATCCTATGTGCTGTGAGTCCACGGGGACAGAATTTCACTAACACATCTTTAAACCTTCATCTTTGAAAAACGGAGAAACTGAAAAGGTCAATGGATACTGAGGAATTAGGGAGCAATAATGTCACCTAAAAGGAAACCACAGAGTGTTATGATCCTATTATTGTTACTATTGCAGCTACTTGTTCAGTTACTGTATGTAGACATAATAGAAAAGCATAGAAAATCATATTTGATTTTGAATAAAATAAAACCCTATTCTATTGTGGTCTTGAAACAGATCACAGTGGCAGTTGCAAAGATTGGGTGTTTTACTGGTGGCACCTGTATGCTCTGGAGAGCTTTCGTCTTTATCTGTTACATGGAGGCCCAAACACCATGATAACTTTGCCAGCTAGACAGGTGTTTCCAAAACAGGTACTGAGTTCATCAACAGTTCTTTATCACATACTATCAGATTTTCAAGATGGAAGTGGCCCTGCTTAAGTCATTTTAGGAAAAGAACTGTCCAGAAAAGTACAGGGACTTTGTCAAGGCCCTTCTAAGAACCATGAGCACCCTACTTGAAATGAAGAACTTTCCTCAAAATTCCCATTTTTTTCTTTTGAAAAGGGTGGATCTGGAAAAGCAGGAAAAAGCAGTGTTTAATATAATGGTGTACTCCAATTAGCCTAAGCTGTAGCAGCCAGTGGGAACAAACTGATTAGTGGGTAACCTCAAAGTAGAAGCCAGGATGGTAAATTCACTCTTCTTTGAAGACATCCAAACTGACACTAATATCGACTTGCAATCAGATGCATATTATAGATATTGCTTTAATAAAATATCTATCGCCTCCTTTATAAAATTGGCAGTTGGAAAAGGACTGAGAAATGCTAGTGTAAGAGGGTTTTTATATGTATCTACTTTAGGATTTAAGGAGGAAGAAAATCCTCTAATCTCTAGTGTGGTAATGTTCTGGTACCACCTGGATCTCTCCCCTTGCTTGGTTGAAGGGAGCCTGGACTGAATCATGTCTGCTTTGCATCACCTTCTCTGGGGTGAACTGAATCTGATTTTGAAATCAGGATGGGTGCAGGGCAGCGCTGTTCCAGAGGTTTGCTTGCTGTTGCTGCAGCTTCCCTTCCTCCTCTCTCAGTCCCCCAGAGGGTGGAGCTGCTCCCCCTGCAGCTCCAGCTTCTCTCTCCCTTCTAACATTTTAAAAGGAAACATGTGAGATGCATCAGAAAATGCCTGCACTACACACAAGAATGAAATGATCTTGACAGTAAGGACATTTTCAACTCTGCTTCCCATAGAAATCTAAGCTAAGCCAGAGGAGTGGGAGGAAAGATCTCATTAGGTAATTCCAATTTAAAGATGGCTCATTGCAAGATGAATTTTCCTCCTCTCACCTACAAGAGCTTGAGGGGAGTCTTTATGGACGTGATGCTTTTCCTATGCTGTTTTGGAAACACTGATCTCTGAAATGTGTTAAACAATTAAAAAAAAAAATCAGTCTCAGTAGAGGCTCATCAATCTCAACGTGTTACAATTCTGCCACCTTGTGGGGATATTTTAAAATACTACAAGTACATTTTGGGGGAAATGAGATATGAAAGGGGAACTGGATATGCTTTTTAATGTATCTGCTTGACCCTGGACAAGCTGTAGGCAGATTGACTTGGATTTTGAGGGGGAGTCTAATGTTGCAGTTTGTCTGTTGATGAAAGCAGTAATGTGGTTGGAGAGGACTCTGAAGAAAGCCAGGCTTGCAACAGTCATGTTCAGGGAAGAGGAGAGTATGCCATTTATTAATAAGGTGAAAATCTTTTCACCCTATTTAATTCTAAGTCAGAGTAAAGTAGTGGTCATATTCAACTTCTGATTGGTGGTTGGTGTTGGCAAATAAATATTTGGATTTAAGATAGCACACGATTCCCTGATAAGCATCCCTTGAATTTAGATAGGTGCAGAGCAGAGATTTAAATTGCATTTATGAAAATTGACATCTTTGTTCTTGAAAACATCGAATGACAAATCATCATAAAATTGCATGATTTTCTTCTTTCATAAGTCAATTATCTCCCTAACAAGTGTGGGCTAAAATCATATCTGATGATTATTTGTGATGATTTTCTTTACGGATGAATACTCAGTGGAAGATACTAGGTTTTTTTTTTTAATACTGACTTTAATGTTCTGAAATGTAATATTCCTATTCAAGCTGTTTATTGAAAAAACTGAATTATGTTAACTCCCTGCTCATGAGCTCTTTTGGTGGTATTGGGCATTTTCAGTGATATTTACACACTAATGCCTGAAGAGAGATTCCTTGAAGTGTAGAGAATGTGTGTTTTTCCTTTAAATACATATCAGTATCCAATCGATTTATCCTTTGGCCTTGACTGTACTTAGCTTTTAAAGTCGTAGCATTAAATCTGCTGGAGAAATCACTTTCTTTTTCTCTATCCTTTCCTTCTCTGTCTACTTCATCTCCTCAATTCCCAAAGAGCCCTTATCAACACAACCCTCTTCATGGCTCCTTATATTGCTCTTCTTGATTTTCACATTTTAAACTTTCAGGTTCACAGTTCAACTTTCCCATAAGATGCAAGTAAAAAAAATAAGCAGCAGGCATTGCTCACAAGCCACACAGCCACGCTCCTTATGAGGACTTGGTGTAAATAGTACATGGATTCACAGAGGACTTGCCACATTTTGACACATCACCATATTTCTGACATACTGGAGGCCCCAGACTTTTAACTCCTCTGTTCCCTGTGTTTATAAATGGGAAAGATCTGCAAATAATATGCAGAAATGCTTATCTAAATGGGCTAAGAAATAAGAGGGAAGAACAAAGAGATGATAAGCTTCTGCCCTATCAAATGAGATAACATGCATGAAATGCCCTCCAATCTCCAAGGTTCTATCATGGATTAACCACATGACTGGTGAAATCCTTTAACCAGGGCAAAGCTTTCTCAGGATCCTCTTCAATTGCTGTCTTCTTGCTGTTAGCTGCTGACTGGGTTGGGTGTAAAGAAGAAAAAGAAGGAAGAAGAGGAGATCTTTTCTGTCAATTGCACTAGAACAAATATGGGGCTCATATATCAGAAGCTTCCACATCAAAAATTAACTTGTAAGTCTTAATTATTACATAACAATTCTTAAAAATTTAAATAAACTTTGATTTAAAAAAGAAAATGTTGAGAATTATAAATGATGAGAAACTTGAGTTCTAACCATTACATGTTGGAGTTTGAAATTGCTTAAAAGTAGAATACTCACCAGTAACCTATATTCCCTGGTGCTTGCCTCACCTTATAAGTATGAAAGGTTAAACTAGCTAGTCACACAGAAGGATTGACAGAGCCATGGGGTATTACCATGAACCAGGGACTCTGCATGCAATGTGTAACTTCTTCCCTCATGATAATCCTAAAAGGTAGATATTATTATCTTATCTTTCAGTGGGCTACCTTACATTTAGAGAGGACCAGGCACCTGCCAGAGTTCATTGAACAAATATGGGTGGTTGCAGGAAAGCTAACAATTACTTACTCTTGTGTTATCACTCTTGCTAAGGCCACCCCCTGCCACTATCAATGATGCTCTCTTCTTCATCTCTGCATTTATTAGATGCTTAATAAATACTTATTTAAAATAAATTGTTAATGGGCTGGGGATATAGCTCAGTTGTTAGAGTGCTTGCCTCACACAAGGCCCTGGGTTCAATCCCTAGCACCAAAAAAAAAAAAAAAAATGTTAAACATTTAAGTTTTAGTAACCTTTAAAGAGAAGACTCCTCTCCACCTCCCCACCCAAGAAAGACAGAAAATAAGAAAGAAATCATACTAAAAGAGGAGATATGTGTGGCTCCACGATCTGAATTTCTACAATACAATTCCATAAAGAAAGTTCTAAAATTATAATTCTGACCACAACATCATAAATAATTACTATGTACAAGAGAGAGTCAATAGCAGGTAGAGTTTAGATGCATTAGTGGCTTTAGTGCCAGTTCTCACTGATGTGTGTAACCTTGAACCATGTTCGAATTGCTAAGGTCTTCCCTAGCTATGATACGAAAGGTAACTTCTTTGCTATTCATTCCAGAGCAACCAACTGGGCTGCTCCATAACTAGTTGGCTTTGTTATTGTCTACCAATGAATGCTATATTTTTGGAAAAGTTAAACCATAGATTGTCAAGAGAAAAGGGAAACCAGAATTAGAACAGAAAGTTCCAAGAAAACTGAAAAGAGTGAAAACCTTCAGTCCCAGAAAAAATGTTGTTTTTAGAAACCACAGAGGGATGTGCTTGAGATGACCTACACAATGACATTTGGTGAGCACTAAGGAAAGTAAGGGGATTATTGAAGGCCAGCAGGGGTCTTCTCCAAAAGCCCAAACCAAACCAACAGGTACAAGATGAGAGACCTGACTGAAGGGAATTCTGGTGATAAGAAGGCCCACAGGGTGAGGTTTCCTTGAGAAAATATGGTACCAATTTAGGAGTCAATAGCCATGATGCATCTGTTGAAAACATTAACAGTTCAGGTACATTAATAGAAAAATAATAACAGACTCAGGGAGGAAGCAATGTCCCTTGAACTAGTCACTTCTTTTTTTGAGGAGTATGGTCTGTCCTATGTGCCATATGTTAAAAGGGATATTTCAAACTCAGGAGTATTGATTTCCTGGGATATTAAGATTATAAATTTGGTCATACAAAGAATACCTGATCAGGTGGGATATTTAGTCTGGGGAGAACAAGACTTAACTATTTTTGAAACCTCAAAGGGTCATTAGAAGGGATGCTAATATGTTTAGTTATGGAAGCACCATCATTAGGTGGAAGTTACAGGGATACAGTTTGACTCAGTATATAATCAATGGCTTTCTAACACTTTGAACCTGCTCCTCACGACCCTGGAAAATCCTTGTCAATGAAATATTCAAGCAAAGGATGCAAGCCCACGTCAAATATCACACATAAGAAATTCACACTTAGATCTAAGAAGGGGACAGGACCAGAGATCTGTAGGGTTCTTGTCAACTGTAGTTTATAATTTTAAGCGTGTTGTTGAGAAATTAAGGTCTATTTCCTTAGAAATCATTTTATAAAGGCATATGAGGATCTAAGTTCAAAAAAGACTATTTCTAAGGTCAAAATATCATGTTTTTAATTCTTCAATTAAAAACACATTCTTGAACTTAGGGAACACTTACTTTTAAGAAATATAAGGGGAAAAGAAGGAGGATCATTAGCCTTCCTTTTCTGGGGAAAGATACAGACAGAGGTCACGGTATGAAACTGCTGAGAAAACATTCTGAAATCCTTGTAGCAGATCTCCTGATACCTCAGGGGGAAATCACTCCACATGACTGATGGCATTTACCTTGCTTGTTTTGTGATCCTGGGTACTTTCTTTGGTGAGATAACATTAATAGTATTTCCAAAAATTGTAAATAAAATAATTAATAGCTTGTCAGGATCAAATAAAATAATATGACCACAGAGTAATGGACTCATACCAATCACTCACTAAAGGCAGAGATCCCTCAGTGTATCTATGTGATAATGTGCTTCTTCCAATTCTTAAAGAACTTCCACATGCATTATCTCCTATAACTCCATGCAGTAAGCAAGATAGGTGAAAGGTTCACACTTTACAGAAGCTAAATTTATGCTTGGAGTAAATGACCACTTTTACTGAATGATGATTATCTGCCCTGTCATTTAATAATTTTTCTAGTAATAAAGAGCTCAGAGCTTTACAGAAAAAACAATTTCATCACAGAAATCAATGAAGAGAATGAGATGATCAAGAATTTTCCAAATCTACACTCAAGACAACATGTTTCACCCACTTCTGAATTACAGATGTGATCATGTGCTGTTGAGAGTGTCGTGAAATTGACCCCTTTGACATTATGGTGGTAAGAATGTAAACAGGTATAACCACTGGAAAAGGCAATTCAGATACATGTGTTGAGAACCTCAGACATATTCACTTTTTGGTTTCATAATTCACCATCCATGAATCTATTCTATTAAAAAAAATCAGAAATGATGGAAAAAGTTTGATTCATAGAAGTGCTTATCAGAGTTTAGGTTCTAATAGCGAAAAACTACAAAAACTCTAAAATCCCACAATGGACTACTCAAAGAAGAATACATTGTAAAGGCAGAGTGCTGTAGTGATAGAAAGCCAGACCTTGGATTAAGATTCATGGAGTTAAATTTCCTATCGTGACACTAACTAGCTGGGTGAGGGGGTGAGTTACTTAAATTAGCTAATGCTTCTCAAATCCACTCAAAGTGGAATGACAATCTATATTTTAAAGAGCAGTTATGACAGTTACAATAACATTAAATGGAAATTGTTTAGATAGCAGCTGAAACATTAAGCTTTTGAAGGCAGTAATTATTATCTATACCATATAATAATCATGATATATATATATATATAAATACTTAGTTTATGGCAGACATGTAGCAAAGATTTTATTTTAATATCCTGATAATAACTCTTTGACATATGTGCTATTAATATCCTCACTTCACAAATGAGGAAACTGAGGAATAGTTCAGCCAAACAGCTTTCCCAAATTATTTTTGTTGGTCTTTTTAGATATATATGACAGTAGAGTATACATTGGCATATTATACATACATGAAGTGAAACTTATTCTAATTAGGATCCCACACTTCTGGTTGTAAATATGTGGAGTTACAGTGGTCGTGTATTCACATATGAACATAGGAAAATTACGTCTGATTTAGTCTGTCTTTTCTATTCCCATTTCCCCTCCCTTCTCTTTATTCCCTTTTAGCTTTCCCAAATTCATATAGAGGGTTGGTTAAACTAGGATTGGTTGAATTGGGATTTGACTCCAGGCTGTCTGACTACTATCTCCTGCACTGTGACACATTTTGTGTATATGTATATGTGTGTGTACCATAATAAAAAATCATAGTAGACTCATACATTTACATGTTTAAAACCAGTTTTAATTGTGTATTATGAATTTTTAAAATCAGATTACCAAATTTTATGGGCACTGGTATGAGATCTATGTGTGAAATGAAAAATAAAATTGATGATTGTAGTGGGGCGTGGTGGTGCCCACCTATAATCCCAGTGACTCAGGAGGCTGAGGCAGGAGAATCACGGGTTCAAAG